AAGATTGTAAATGCAGACATGTTTGAAGTCGGTACCAGATGGACGCCGCTGACTGCCGTCCAGTGCTTTTTGGATCCGGCCCAAATTAAAATGGAAAATGACAAATGGAGCCGGTTTCTCCCAAAGGACCAGATGGAGCAGAAGGCTGATTATGATGTCAGGGAGTGCAAAGGAAACCCAACTCACAATCAAGCTGATAAATAAATTGCCGCTGACAGGAGTAGAGGATGAAATTGATTACCTAATACATTCTGAACTGGGTGACACGGTTACTCGCTGTGTGGAGTCCATATGTCACATGGGCTTTTCTCTGGGACTCCAGTTTCCTCTCACAGTCCAAAAACCTGCAGTTAGGCTAATCGGAATCTCTAAATTGTGAATGCATTGGGGCGGCACAGTGGTTAACACTCTTGCCTCACACTCCTGGGACCAGGGTTTGAGTATCTACCTTGGCTCCATGTGTGTGGACTTTGCATGTTCTCCTTGTGTTGTCATGGATACTGCGCTCCACAGTCCAAAAGCAAGGTGAGCTTAATTGGAGTTGCCAAATTGCATGTAGATGTTCCCGTGTTAGTGTGCCCTGCAATGGGTTGGTGGGATACTCTCTGCCTTGCACCCATAGATACACTGTAGATTGGGATCCTGTATATGATAAGCATTTATCGACAATGGATGGATTTGCATGTGCTCTGTGATGGACTGGCATCCTGTTCAGGGTGTATGCCTGCAGTGTGCTCTGTGTTGCCAATGTAAGCATGATGTGAACTAAAAATGACTGTATTATACAGTGTGTATAGGAGTGTATACATGTCCGATTCATGTTTTACCAAAGATTTTAGTTTTTACAATAGTTCAGAAAGAATCTACTGCAGGAAGATTTTCAGAAATTTCAGAAAGGGAGGAAATCGGAAAATCGAAAGTCAGTGTTTTGTAGAGAACTGACCCTCAACCATAATGAGAGGAATGGACATTCCGAAATACTGAGTCAATCAGCCAATCAGAATTGAAGTTGTAAAAATCAGAGGATACACCGCAAAGACGCAATTTGGGGCGGGATTCAGCCGCTTTATTTTTTGTCTCAGGCCACTCTGAAATATTATATCTCTAAATTCCTTTAGTGATTTGACACATGCCCCCCCCCCCCCCCCCCCCCGCCGCCGCCGGAATTTAATTCTTCCGATGCCAAACATACTGCGGGCTAACCACACCCAAGGGTCAAATCCTACAGTTGGATTGGTGATTTTTCTCTCTGTTGCTCATTTTGACCCAGTGACACTCAGATTGTGTTTTGACTACAATCAGTGGCGACGGAAATGGGGGAGCGGGATAACGGGTCTCCCCCAAAATCGGCAGGACCACACCGCCCCTTTCTTGTGAAACTGCTCCCTAAACGGTGTTATTCTTATTTTAAATTGTGACATTTTAATTATTTAGGATCTCACATAGTGTCATTTCACGATGTGACCATTGCATGGTTGCCCATTGCAATGTCGCGATATACATCCCGCATCAAACGCCATCCAGTATCACTGACTACAGCTTAAATAAACCAGGTTGGCTCCTTAATTTGACCCTCTCTCGTCTAATCATTACAGTACGTACCTTGGAGCGAAAAATATTTATGCACATATGTCAGAGGTAAATAAATCAATGAACGGAAAACATTAAAGGAATCGATTTACTGAAAGGAATGATAATTTACATCCCAGCAACACAGTTTTCTTGGCTGTACTTGTACGTTTTTACGCGAAACGTAGCCTAAATCGAAATTTACACAAGTGGTTGTTTCTCTGCTACTTGTGGACGCTATAAAGTAAGAAACACTACCTAAAACTAAATGATTATCGAAAGCTATACACAGAAACGACAGTTCATACCCAGATGCGCTAGTTTGTTTGTAATATGTTGCAAAGTACGTTAGAGCTCAAACTTTTGTGCAAATATATAAAAACTTTTGAATCTATGCAATGTTGATTACTACGTAGCTGTGTGGAAATATTAATTCGTGTTGAAATTGTCCGGAAGAGCATTGTTTTTGCGTTTGTTTCAGTCAGAAAATACTGAAAATGCAATGCATTTAAGCCATTATACTGCACACTCAGTTTGCATTCTGCATCTATTTTATTCATATGTAAATTACACAACCAAATCACTACGCCCTAGTAAATGTCACATACTTATCGAAGAGAGCAATTGCCAGTTGGGGGTTGAAGAGAATTCTGAGAAAGCGGTCTGATATTTCCTCATTTGTGTGGGACGTGGTTTGTTTCTCTTCGGGTTAATAAAGTTCCATTAATGTTTATACGCGGTGACAGTAGGGTTTCATATTAGTTCTCGGTTTACTGTAACAAGGAGAACGCTGTATTGTTGTGTTTATGTCCTTTAACAATCAGAGCACCAAGATTAAGTTGAAATTGTTTCAATTTCTGATATTTACAAATTACCACCACACCAATGCAAATTTTAATGTGGTACAGTTCTTCCCACTTTTTCAAATTCTGGCATTTAAGCACAAATAAATCAATAAAGCAAATGTGTTTTGATTGCCATCAATTTCGCACCTAGAACTGACCTAGGCTGATCTCTTACGCTTATTTAAATGTTGCCTAATATGAATGTTCCGGCTTGGCCTCGGGAATATAAGCAGCCGCTAGCGATGCAACTGCCTGCTAAGTAGCATGGGTGCACACAGCAACTCTTCATCCAAAACTAAAACAGAGGCACAAGGCCTTCTGGAAGAAAAACGCACATTACACATGGCTGCCAGCTAATGATGTATATCCCAGATAGAATATATTCACCCGCCGGCTCTCGCAAGAAAACTGCTTGTTCAGCACCCCGGGCGCGGACAGCGCCTCTTAGTCCAAAACCACAACAGAGGAATATGGCCTTCTGGAAACAAAACGGCTGCTAGCTGATGATATATCCCATAAGTCACTGATTTTCATCCATTCCAGCATAAAACAAAGGCTGAAGGCAGAGCTAAGGGACAACGGGGTGTAGTGAAGCTATTACTGCCCCCTGCTGGTATGGTGGAATGGAGCGGCCACTGGTCATCGATCGCAGAAACACCAGGACCCTCTAGCAACAGGGGCCTGCGTCTCCACAAACACCATATAAAACACCTTTGGTTGGCCTTTTTTTCCTTTTTAATGGATGTGTAGAATGAACAGAGATATTCGGTCCGACATCTGGAAAAAAAGTCAAGGTCTGCTGGTTTTTAAAGTGCATTTATTTCAATATTAGACCATTAGTTTGAGTAACACATTTTTGATAAAGATTACATTAAGCATGCGCATGAACAGCACATGCTTATCCTGCATTATGATCTATTGCATGGTTCATTTTCGTCATCTTTGAACAATTGTGGGTTAAAATTGAGCACTATTTCGCCACCAGATGGCACTGTGACACAATAGTTTGAACGTTTCAGAAGCGCGAAGCATTTTCCGGAAGAGTTTAAATTGGTTCTGACTAGCAAAAGCATCGGTTTTTGCCATCACTAGTTGCTAGGAGGTTTACAACGATGCATTCATGACCCCCGGTGTCAATTATTTCTCTGATGAAAATGAGCACATTTGAAGTATCATCACTATTGTCAGTCACATCATAACGATTTCAACCAGATTTTTTTTCTGAGACTAGGTTTACTAGATTAATTGACTTTGCAAATTAATGGCAGATATTAAAGGCGGTGTACAAGATTGCTTTTGTCTTGTGGAAAAGGGCCAGAACAAAAATATATTGTATACAGCAGGGCTCTTCAAATCTGGACCTCAATTCTAAATCCAGGCCGTGTTTTCAGTTCTCCCAGGTAGTTAGTTTAATAATTACTGATTCTGATTGGTCAGAGGCTTCACACCTGACTGACAGGTAAAGGAAGGCTGGAAAACCAGCAGTGCTCGGACCTCGAGGACCATGATTTGAATAACCCTGGTATACAGATTACAAAGACACAGTTTTTATTCCAGTTCACTGATTTCCCATTGGCTGACAAAAGGGACACCTGACCAACCAGAATCCAGCAGTATATGCTGAAATCAGCCTGATTCAAAGAGAAGCTAGAAGTTATTAATCAAATATATTCTGAACAGGAGAAACTGAGCAGCAAACCAATACTTAAAAAAAAATGGAGAGTGATTATTTGAATCCTACTAAGGTTTCGATGGGCACACCTGATACACATGCTATTGAATCACCAGTGATGGCACACAATGGAGGAAATGTAAGTACAGGGTAAATGAGTGAATATTATATTTCAGGAAAATGTTGTTCATGTATTTTGTTAAAAAGGAAAAAAAAAAACATGGTGCTAGACACCAAAAGGATAGTAACAGAGAAACTACACTTTTTCCACAATTTCACACCGTTAAGACTAAATCACTTTCTGTGGACCAAATCATCTACTGGTAGTACTGGTTCCCAGACCAGCTCCTTTGTATAATGTACTATACAGCCTGTGTTCATGGTCCAGGATGACGTCCTTAGTATAATGCACTATACACGCTATATGTTGGCAAATGGACGCATGTGTTCCCAGATCAGATCATGACTGTAATTTACACGTCACTTTCCGAAACGCGGCACCTGCTCGATTTACAGTATACACCACTTCGGCGCATGCATGCAGTACGTTCTATGAGAGAAGGGTCCAGCAGCAGACGCCTGTAGAGTGGTCAGTGGTGCTCCACCGGAAATACGTCACCTCCACAGGAAACACGAGGCCTCAACTCTGTGTCACAGTAAATAAACCCTAACCTTAACCTTAACCCTAAGCCTAACCCTAACCGGAGCTCCACTTTACGTCCTTAAATATCACGTGTTTCCTGTGGAGGTGACGTATTTCGGGTGGAGCGCCACTCTACAGTCTACAGGCGTCTGCAGCAGTGCAGCTAGACCCTCTTGTTCTACGACGCTGCCAGGTTTGCAGCACGCATGCGTATTATTTTACGACAGTACGTCACGCATATTGGGGGAGTGCGAGTCGCCATTTTGGAGCCTCAAGGGTGCAGCTGGCAGCTTTGTCTTTCCCTGGTTAGCTACAATCCCCGCCCACCCAAGCGAGTCTTTAAAAGCTGCTTCTCCATCTTTCAGCTTCCTTTCCGCGTATGCGCCTTGCTCCTGTCACGCTTTCCGGGTTGTACTCTTCTGCTTAAAGGTACAAACTTTGGTTTGGGCAGTGATTTTTACTTTTAAAGTGTTTTCGCATACGCCCGCTTACATGTGAACGTATCCTGTGCATTAAGTGCATTATCATTGTAGTTTGTCGCTAAGCCATTCATTAGCATACCAGTGGCGCATGTTAAGCACAAACGGGTTTCCAGTTACCCTTGACGTTGCTCTAGATTGTTGATTCATGTCATGATATTATACCGATTTCTTTTTGCCAAATGATTTCGGACATCATTTATTGTCTTGGGGTTCTCCGTAAGTTGTAGATGTACTGATTTAAGTGGGTTTTTTTTCCAAATGCACGTGTGAAATACAATTTATAAATGTTGACAGCCCGACTATTTGTGATTAGACCTGAAACAGGCCTACTTACGCTGCTTGAAAGTTGCAGTTGGGACCCAAAACGTTTTGATATGCAATTTAAATAAAACGACTTTAGTTTCCATTCAGTTAAAACGTTTTGATATGGTAAATTAGAAACTTTTCTACGGTGTGTACATTAATCCCGTTCATATCATTGCCACTGAGCTATATATATCGTATACCTGACTGTGGATGCATGACCATTTTTAGTCACCCAAGACTACTTTCTAATTGCACGTTTACTTTGAAAACATTGCTCAAGTGAATCAATTTCACTAGTTACCTCAATGCTTTGGAATTTAAAGTAATTTCACGTTTGCTTAATTGGAAAATGTTAGTGTACATTAGTCATCCTTTCACACACACGTCATTGTCTGTTACAGTGACATTCGCAAAGCTTACATATGTTTGAAACTTTCCAAGCACAACTGTGTGCCTGTCCCTGCCTGGTTACTTTTGTCCGGTAAATGTTTTAGGTTACCCTGGTTCGGTCTTACTCTAACCTGACTTTTTTAGGGGGAGGATTTGAAATGCTGATTATCTTTGCCCATGTAGATTAAATGACAGTCAAACCAGTCTTTATAACCCATGTTTCACTGTTGTCGATGTCGGTTTTTGTTTCTGCAGCTGAACGATGGCTGGCATCCAGGAGCGTACCTTCATTGCCGTCAAACCCGATGGTGTGCAGAGGGGTCTTATCGGGGACATCGTCAAGCGCTTTGAGCAGAAAGGATTTAAACTCGTTGCTATGAAATTTCTCCAGGTGAGTCAGCACTTGCACAGCTGTTGCATTTTGCCGTTCGTGTGCGAGCCCTATTCGAATGACTGTGACATCTTGTGTTTAACATGCATGTGAAGCGTAAGCCGGTATAGTTAGTGTGTTCTTGCAACCTGAGTCTTAGTCATTAGTTCCTGGACGGTGCTTGAGTGTTTAATTATATGGTAACCCGTCCTTGTTTTGGTTTAGGGTAGCAGTTTCTTGTTGGCTGAGGTTAAAGTTTTTCATCTAGAAAAATTGCATTGCATGTTGATGATTAAGATTATATGAATTTGAAGCGCCTGTTTTCACATGTGTGAGAGTGCCAAGCATGGTAATATAAATGGGCTATAATAATGGGGTGGGGGGGGGGGGGCGGATTTTATTATTCTGTGTTAAAAGCTAGAGAACTGAACTTGTATTTTTGCTGTATCATAGTAACAATGTGCTGGTATAGTAATCCAAGTCGCTTAAAACCTCTGCAATTATAAATATCATTTTGATTGAGTTTAGTCTTCTGGATGGATTGAGTGGTAGCTTTAGTGTGCAAAGCCTGCAAACATTTTGGCTATGAAAATAAGCCCCCCCCCCTGCCAGTTAGCTGACCTCAGTTGCCCCATAACTATTACTATTGTAAACAAACATTGGACAAATTATGTGGAAGAAATGTATATTTTGGATTACACAGCAGGAACCTTGTACAATCCTGAAAACCAAAATGTATTTCCTACCAAGGATCTGCATGCGAAAATGTAATAACACTGTATCGCTGCTTTCTGAGCTTCAGCTAAAACTGATGCCTGTAAAATACTGCATGAGGCGTTGAAGCCAAGCTTTAATATGGGTGCTTATTCTCCATTTACTGCAGGCGTCCGAAGACCTCCTCAAGAAGCATTACATTGACCTTAAAGATAAGCCGTTCTATAATGGACTGGTGAAGTACATGGCCTCTGGTCCTGTACTGGCAATGGTAAGTATGCAGTAACTTTGTCATAGACCTTTAGTTTCCCATTTTAAAGGGTTATTTTGCATGTATAATTATGCATTTTTGGGCCACTTTGAATATTGCACCTCACATTTTTCTGATTTTTAAAATTTTTTCAAACAATTATGTGTGGCTAAATACAGTAATTCCCACATATGGTTTGGTTAAAGAAAAATATATTTAAGTTTTTCAGCCTGTCTGTTAGCTAGCTAAGATGCCAAGTGGGCAGTATTGTATGTCTATCTATATTTCACTACATTGACTTGTCTCAGAACAAATTGTAGGTCCTAGTTTTTGTTTTTGCTGACCTGTTAAATTATACTTGGTTGTAATTTTAAATGAGACACGAGAACATAGATTTATACCTGCAATAAGTAAATGTGTGTCTATTTATTCGTTTTAAACTTAAATCTACATTTTGAATTTTCAGTTGAACTCTAAAAACTAAATCTGATGTATGAATGATCTGCTCTTGATAGATATATACACTCACCTAAAGGATTATTAGGAACACCTGTTCAATTTCTCATTAATGCAATTATCTAATCAACCAATCACATGGCAGTTGCTTCAATGCATTTAGGGGTGTGGTCCTGGTCAAGACAATCTCCTGAACTCCAAACTGAATGTCAGAATGGGAAAGAAAAGTGATTTAAGAAATTTTGAGCGTGGCATGGTTGTTGGTGCCAGACCAATATTAGTATTTCACAATCTGCTCAGTTACTGGGATTTTCACGCACAACCATTTCTAGGGTTTACAAAGAATTGTGTGCAAAGGGAAAAACATCCAGTATGCGGCAGTCCTGTGGGCGAAAATGCCTTGTTGATGCTAGAGGTCAGAGGAGAATGGGCCGACTGATTCAAGCTGATAGAAGAGCAACTTTGACTGAAATAACCACTCGTTACAACCGAGGTATGCAGCAAAGCATTTGTGAAGCCACAACATGCACAACCTTGAGGTGGATGGGCTACAACAGTAGAAGACCCCACCGGGTACCACTCATCTCCACTACAAATAGGAAAAAGAGGCTACAATTTGCACGAGCTCACCAAAATTGGACAGCTGAAGACTGGAAAAATGTTGCCTGGTCTGATGAGTCTCGATTTCTGTCGAGACATTCAAATGGTAGAGTCAGAATTTGGCGTAAACCGAATGAGAACATGGATCCATCATGCCTTGTTACCACTGTGCAGGCTGGTGGTGGTGGTGTAATGGTGTGGGAGATGTTTTCTTGGCATACTTTAGGCCCCTTAGTGCCAATTGGGCATCGTTTAAATGCCACGGCCTACCTGAGCATTGTTTCTGACCATGTCCATCCCTTTATGACCACCATGTACCCATCCTCTGATGGCTACTTCCAGCAGGATAATGCACCATGTCACAAAGCTCGAATCATTTCAAATTGGTTTCTTGAACATGACAATGAGTTCACTGTACTAAAATGGCCCCCACAGTCACCAGGTCTCAACCCAATAGAGCATCTTTGGGATGTGGTGGAACAGGAGCTTCGTGCCCTGGATGTGCATCCCACAAATCTCCATCAACTGCAAGATGCTATCCTATCAATATGGGCCAACATTTCTAAAGAATGCTTTCAGCACCTTGTTGAATCAATGCCACGTAGAATTAAGGCAGTTCTGAAGGCAAAAGGGGGTTAAACACCGTATTAGTATGGTGTTCCTAATAATCCTTTAGGTGAGTGTATATAGCTAAACTCTTCTGTTAATGTCTTCCTAGGTATGGGAAGGTCTAGGTGTAGTAAAAACAGGAAGAGTGATGTTGGGAGAGACCAATCCTGCAGACTCCAAACCCGGAAGCATCCGCGGAGACTTCTGCATTCAAGTTGGCAGGTGAGTCTGATGATGCTTGGATATTATTAGCTTTATTTTACACGGGCGACTAATTTTTCTTGCCAAATGGTCACTAAACCTTCTGCCTTTTTGTGTTTCTGTTCTCAGGAACATCATCCATGGAAGCGATTCTGTCGAAAGCGCAAATACTGAGATCGGTCTGTGGTTTAAACCTGAGGAGCTGGTGGCATACAAAAGCTGTGCACAAGACTGGATCTACGAGTGAAAGTCTCACGGTCGCCCTGCTGTCTAAGGTCTGGTGGGACGGTGGTTCCTGGAACTTGCATTATCAAACTGATGCTCGCCAATAAAGTAATGAACTCAAACTGTTGCCTTGAACTTTCAGTGTTTATTCTGTCTTTGGTTGTAACCAGTAGCATTAATCTGAAATGGATCCTCTGGTTTTATAACCTGTGCAAATTCCCTGCTTCCCTAAATCCCGACTTACAATTAACATTACAGTCAAGATTAAGGCAGCAGATCAATAACCTAGAACCCTTTCAGGTCCATGCTACTCTTCCTGTATTAAATCTGTTTGGAAGGCGGCAGCTTTTAATTTCCTTGTACGCATTTGGAATATCGCGAATGGAAATAAACACACTGTACAACAGTCTTTGTCATTATCAGATGTCTGATTTAGCATTAATTCAGCATACGTAAACAGTACTTCATTATACTAGGAAATGTATAAAGGATGTCAATGGAAAAGATAATGAAACGGATACTGACATTAGCAACTGAAAGAAGGTTACATTTACATAGCACTCAAGATGCCTGAAGTGCTTTACAGAACCAACTGGGAGCCACTTCAGCCCCCACCCCTGTGTAGCCCCCACCCCTGTCATGCGACAGCAGCCACTCTGCACCAGTACGCTCACCACACAGTAGCTAAGCTAAGATGGTGAAGAGGCAGGAAAAGATTCAGGTATTCAGTCTCTGTAACTCCTTGTGTGTAGAGCCTGCATCTGTACACTGTTTGTGGGCTCCCAGACACCTTCACCCCCACCCCTCCCCAAAAAAGAAATTTTCCCAAGTAACCCTCAATGAGGCCTTACAGTAATGCACCAGGATCTTCACAGACCAACAACCCAACTGGTCTCATATCCAAGCACTGGCCAGACCCAACCATGCTTAGCTTCAGACAGACTACCTGGCCTGAACTACAGGAGCTGTAGCTGCTGACAACTTAGCACAGTGAACACTGAGAATGTGAGTTGACCCTAAAGAAAGCAAATACATCAGACATATTATTAGTTATTATTAATTATGTTAATTGTGCAAAGAAAAAGACTATGTATTCACTGTGAAACTTAAATTGATACATTAAAAGTGAAGAACCATTTTTCCCCAGGATAATCAACTGCAGAAAAACCACACCAATACTAGTCTGAGAGAGATACATTTTTTTTACAAGACCATCAGAAATGGAGGGAGATGAGAGGCAAGGTAAAGAGAAGACAGTGATTGACCTAACTGAAAGAGAGAAAAGTAGGCAAAAGGATTACCAGCGACGGGTCAAGTGGACAGAAGCAGGCAGATGGTCGTCACCCCAACCCAAAGTCCTGAGGCTGATCAAGAGGCAGTAGCACAAGCAGAGTCATCAAGGTTAGATGATTGAGAAATGTCATTAATGTAGTTTTTAAGTTTAGGACCATATGAAACAGAATGATCCAAATGATTCTTCCTAATCAGAATGACCAGACCTGCATCAGCCCTTTCATATGCCACCACTAAGTGACACCATTTCAGTTTTACGTTCAATTAGTTCCAAAATGTTCCTGGCAAGTCTGAAAAAGACCCATCAAATACTTTTAGAGTTACTGTGTTCACAAGACCAAGTGTCTTCTGCAGCTGCGGTTTCCTTTCCTTACTTCTACCTATCGCTGCTGCTTCATTTTTGGGGCAATTTGTCTCAAAATGAAATCAGGTGTAGATCCTAGTAAAAATCAGTAATAAGATCCATCGAATACTTCTTGACTTCACAGGGTTAAATGTCATCTGCAGTCAGCCTTTCCTTTGTTGCCACTAAGAGGCTGCTTCAGTTTTGGGGCAACCAGCCTCAAAATTTGGCCAGTTGCAGTTCTTCACCCAGGCAATGTGTATGCGAAGCTTGAAAAAGATCCATCAAATTTTAACTGATGTGTGTCTGTTATGGGGGACCAGTCCCAAAACCATGTCAGGGTTCCCCAACTCCGGTCCTGGAAGCCCAGAATCCAGACGACACCGTCGGCAAGACCCGCACCTGCTGTCACAGACTGACAGAGTAGGAGATACTGCAGGCAGTTCAGACTATTCTGATGCAGGATCCCCTGGCATTGGTCCACTCCAGCCTACCGTCCAGATGCACTCAGAACAGGTTTCCAGCACATGACCGGGAGGCCACAGGCCGCAGCACCTCCAGTTAGCTAACACTGAGCACCAATGCTCACCCCACTCATCACACTCAAATGCACACCGCAGTCATCAGGGAGATCAAACAGAAACCAGTACCAATGCATAGACGACAAAGCAAATATTTTATTTGCAGTATGTAATGCAGCCACAAAACATAAGAAACGTATGGAGGTGTTGACTAATACTATACCAAGAAGTATTTATAATCCATATCACTTTCAGAATTTGCAGTAAAAAAAAAAAAAAAAAAGAAAGAAAACCTCTGGCTTGTTCTTAAAAATAATTCTGCAACCTCAGACTGACTGTGGCTTGGAAACCAAGAGCTGGATATTGTTCCATAATCACAGGTCTGACGGAGCAGCTGAAGACCTCAGTAAGGTGAGTCACCTGCTTGTCTGCAAACAAGTACAGAGACGGAAGAGAAAATTCAAAACGTGTTGAGGAGGTGATGAAACATTTATTAAATTCAAATGGTTTTGATATTAAAGATGTAAAATGATCCGTAAGCTGAGCTCCAGTTAATTTCTGTCAAGTTCTAATATTCAATGTGCACATCAGCAATAAATCAGCAGTGAGAAAAGAAAAAAACCTTAAAATACCTACCTGGACACTTGGCTTTCATCAGAAGTCTGTGTAATGCTTCAACCTAATTAAAACAAAAAGGGAAAATGGTATATATACACACACAGGTACATACATATTATACCATCATATCTGTCCTGCACCCAGAGCTACCTGGGACAGACTACAGGGCCATTTGCATTATGGAGCTCTGAGACCCACATGTCAGTAAAACGGACTTAAGCCTCACACCTGTATAGCAAGGCCTTCCCTTTGTTATTTGCCACGGAGAAGAAGCCGCTGTTTGGAGAGAAGTCCAGGCACTGCGAGAGATAGACCGTCTTCTTCCGAAACACGGGGTAGTTGGAAAACACTGTGAAGCTGGGGATGTGGACCTGAACACATTCAAAACCAAAAACAGACTGTGATGTGTACGGACTCAAAGTCACGAACTCGGTAAACCTCAGTCTGTCAGTACCAGAAAACCCAATTGTTTCAGGATGGAATGAATGCAAATAATTCCCAGGAATCTGTGATTTCCCACTGGGGTCACTTAAAATGATCTACTCTTACACTAACCTATGATACTACAGTGCCAAGTTTACAAAAATCATTTAAAAAAAAGTGACCAACCAGTCGAACAGCTTCATCTGCTGCATTAGAGGCAATGGCAAGAATTTCAGTGGTGGGGTTAAATTGCAGGGAAGAGATGGGGGTCAGCAGATTCATGATGGCCTTGATAGGCTTGGGGTTTGACTCCTGCAGGCAAGCGTCACTGGAGTAAACATTCACCACTCCTGAGCTGGACCTGGGAGGAGAAGACAACGTAGTCATCAGCTATGCATTGCAGCCTCAGCCTCATCGGCCAGAGAGATTTTTTAGTCAGGATAGTCAGTGACATTCGAAACGGAGTAAAAGACCGGTAAAAAAAAAAAAATGAAATAAGAGAAAATACGCAAACTTCATCTAAATTACTCGCCCACAAGCCAGATACTGTCCATTCCTGGACACAGAAAGTGCAGTTAGCTTCAAGCTGCCATCATCCGTTAGCCTGTTCAAGCACCGGCGGCTTTTCACACTCCAAACGAAAACCTCTCCGACATCTGCAAGACAAGCAAGAAAAGCGTTACACTCTCAGCCTGGAAATTTAAGGGGAATAAAACAGAATACACAACATAATAGCAAACAACACATTTGTCAGGATTACGATCAAATGTAACAGGTTTTCACAACATGGGTGATTTCATTCTAAACGAGCCGGAGACGATGCTTAAAATGTAACATCACTGGGAAAGAACTGGGCTTTAATCAGGCCGAATCAGTATTTCAGTGTTACACATAAACTACGACTGTACATCCTCATAAATGATACAAAACAAACCAATTGCAAATATTTAAAAATTGCAACCCAACGGTAATCATTTTTACCTACTTTTTGCGGGATATCAAGGAAAACAAGTCCAGAGACAGTAAATGGAACAGAAAGTCTAAAACATGCTGAGGAGGTGATGAGACATTCATTTGTCTTCCTGCTTCCCTTACGATAAACCACCAGACCTTCCACCGACGTCCTGAATGGGCACTTCCTGCCATTCCCGAAACCGTGCTTTTTGATCAACCCCTTCATATACAAAGTATAACTCTTGTCCAAGACATGGCAACCACAACACACAAGTTTTGAAGCTGAGTAACAGGTGCTTAATCATTGAATGTTGCATGTGTGATCAAAATAGACCACCGGTAGCTAATGGCTAATCCTCATGCTATTCCACACTCTGCTTGAGACAGAGGCTCCCCCCCATGGTGACCCAGCACTGAGTCTCTACCCTTAAATATCACATCTGACAGCTTGCGTGTCAGGCTGCCTCACCTGAGCCGACGTAGATTTTGCTGCCGTCCGGGGAGAAAGCAGCGCCTGTGACTTCCCCGTTTATCTTCATGCTGCAAACTAATTCCTTAGTCTGAAAATGTTTAGCAACGAGGATTTAATTTCATTAAATTAAAAACTACCCTTTACAGAACATGTGCACTTTGCCAATAAAAGGACAGACAAACACTGCTATTGGCAGCTGACGTTCGAAGGTTAGGAGCAGGATCCATCACTAGATTAAGCATTTATCTACACTTACTAGATAATTAATATTCCCAAAAAACAGACCACGAAACAAAACATACTCAACGTTATCAAAGGCTTCTCAAAATATGTACAATTCAAAAAAACAATTTCGGCTCATTTTGACTGTATTATCCCTGATAAGACATATACTGACTCATTCTACTCCCTGTACTACCCAAAACGGAAATAAACACTTACCTTCATCGTCAGCAAGTGGAAATATCCAGAAGAGCCTACAAAGAGGAGGTGGTTCCCGTCTGGGGAAACTTCAAATTCCTTGAGCTTCTTCTCTTCCAAACCTACAGTAATGAAAAGTAATACTAAGTGATTTGGCGAAAAGAATTTTCCAGATCCATTATAATCTTATGGGACCACCACTGTATATGTGGTCCTTCGTAGACCGAAACTCCATTCTGAGGCGCATGACCACAAGTAATGAGAAGCAGTGTTTACGTTGTGATATTTCAAAACAATAAATCATTAAGATTAAAAAGCCAACGGATCCACATGGGCAGCCCTGCTCACCTCGGACCCCCTGT